ATATCTAGGAATATGCATTATTATAATCAAGTAACATTCTTTTAGATCTTTATTAAAATATTTGGATGACTCATCATAAGGTACAATAATGACCCTATCATATCCTGATATAATTTTATATTAACTTTTTTCCATTATATCAGCATAATATCTATTAGTAAACAAATTTTTTAATTAAAAAAACATTCATTGAGGTCCATTATTTCTCACTTTAAATAAAAAAATCAAACATTTAATAGCCAAATATTTGAAAATCAGAATACGAAACTTATTGAAGAGCTGCCCTTGTGTAAGATTTTTTTTCTTCTTAATTTTCTCTTGCTAGATTCTATCTTTAAGAATTGCATAATATTAGAATTTTTTAGTGAAAAATAACTACATTAATAGTAATAACCTAATAATAATATTCAAACTTTGCATTAATTAAATTCTTAGCAATTTATTTGAATATAAATTTGAATTATTATGTGGTCGTGTTGTACTATCATAATAGTATTTTCACTATTAGGCCAAATATAGATGACAAAGGTTGGTTGAAATTAAAATATGCATTGATTAAATTAAATGAGAAAAGAAATAATACATTATAATGTATATCAAATAATATACCTGGTGCAATTTTAAATTAATCAATTAATTTAATTTAATCCTGTCAATTTATTTTAATATTTAGCATATCATGTAGTAAAATATAAATCATTTTGTATGATCTTAAGATTAAATTATATAAATTATTTTATTATGTAAATAATCAAGTGATTTGAACTAATGTAAATTGAGATCAAATTTAATCATGTAATGCACTATAAGATTAGTTATGATTTTATTAGATAAAATTGTTATTTACTAAATTTAATTTTAAGTGGGTGCATATATTCTTAACATCCCCAACATCTAGAATATAATAATGGTTACTAAAAATAAATAAAATATTTTATAATTGAAGCATGATTTTGTAATTGTAGATGGTTTTTGCTTGAGTAAATCAAGTCAATAGCTTTATTTGAGTTTCAAAACCATAAACAAAATTATATTTGGTGTCATTGGTGCATCATTAGAAGGAAATTGAATAAATATAACACCCACTACTCTAAGAAAAACTCATAATGAGACGTCTTATAAGATTCCACCTACTCCCAGTACTGCTCTCATGCCTCCATACTCCTTGAGCGATTATCAACCAACCAAACTTGAATGAAAATCATCCATTAATAGTCATCTTTAAAACATGGTGGATTAGTTTAATGAAGTCCAAAGGCCTGGTTGTTTATGATCTCATCTATTATTAGGACTAATCAAGTGATCGCTACTAGGTCAAGCTACACCCTCATTTCTTTGCCAAGTGATGTCACTTGCAATCTCAAGGTCAATAATATAATGCTTTCATCTATACGCACCATTGAGTATGTCATGACTTCCAAATTTTGGAATACATTAAAGTGATTGGCTCCAATCATTATTCCTAGTATTTGGGCCATGGAGTCCATGAAATAGGCAAACTTCTCATTTTGTATTTATATCTATCTTTGTATTTCTATGAACCTCCTTGATTTTACCTTTAAAACTACATACATGTCATTAATCATTACAATTTTACTTATATTGCACTTGGTCACTTGTCATACCATCATCTAGTTTTTACCATTAATTTATCTACCATTATCTTCCATTAATTTGCTCTGTACCTAAGAACGTCTATCATAATTACATACTCTTTTGTGGCTTCTCTTTGGGCTAAGGAAATGGTTCTCATGTCATTCACGTATAATAGTGCCAACCAAGAGTAAAGATGTTGGTGGGTTAAGAGCTAAAGTAATCACACCATCTTTATTAGTGATGAAATCTATATTGGAATGCATACTTCTAATCTTGCTAGTGTAACTAAGAGATGGTGGATCTTCTTGAATGTATCAAATTTTATAGCTGCTGCTATAGTTCCTTATGTTAAATCAATGTCTTCAATCAACACACTCTAATCCTCATAGATTCTTCTTTGTCTTTCTTTCTCTATAAGTTGTGATGTATTCTTCTTTAATTCTAAGAAAAAAAAAATAAACTTCAAACTTTAAGTCAATGAGTTTGAAATCCATTTTACAAAAAATTTAGTGCAATATGATTTTAAGCGCCTATATTAATAGTGTAGAAAATAAACAGTAAAATATGTTGCCTCTTGTTCCTATACTCTATAAATGTTAAGGAAAGCAAACACTCATCAAAAAGCTGCCCCTCAACCCCATAAGAGCTTTACTAACCAATCTAAATGTAACTCAATCCAAAGCAACATTAACATTCTATGGTTGATTGACAAATCCCTTTAGCTTTTCATTGATTTTTCATAATAATGCTCTAATAACTCTTTTTATATAGCTCAAGAGGTTTATTTATTGGGTTCTCCTCACTTCTACCCAAATTAAAATTATAATTGCCAAGGTTGTCCTCGGATCCTCCTCTGGAATTCAAAAAGAAACTTCCAAGATCCAAAGTTCCTAAATGATTTCATAGAAACCTTTAATACCTCTTGCCTAAACTCATCTCATTAATCAACACTCATCAACACTTTTTGGCCCTTCCATAGAATTCACAACTATTCATGAGTAATTTCTCCATTAGCATCACTCTCAATGCCACCCATCACCTTGATAACAATAATTCATTCCCCCCAATTCTAACACGATTGGTTGTTTTAGTTGCTTAGGGTTAACAACTATGGTGATAATATTCACCAACATAATGCACCAACTTAAGGATAACACCTCGCCTCAATGGCTTGATCAATGGTACAAAATTTGAAACCTCACTGAGACCAAATTAATGTATACTTTTAACATTTCAAACATAATAATCCTCCCAACATAACTTACCTTGGCACTTTATGCCACTGACTAGGGCTTCACTATGAATAGCCTCCTCTTATAGAAGAAGCACCAAACAATCAATATTATATATTACTTTCACTATAAATCTCACATTGTTTGAGCAATATGTGTTTAATTACTATCAGAGGGCATCATGTGCCCTTTGTGCTTGATATCGTATTGATAATAGATTAAAAAAAATTCTAATATATTATTCCAATGATTATCATCTAATGGCTAGCTCATAGAGCTAAATGAACTATTTTATGATATATCAACATGTTTAGCCTAAAGTATTAAAAAGGATGATGAAACTATTAGAGTTAAACTTATGTAAAGTTGGAACTTCTTACACATTATTCCTTTTAACTTTACATTGTGAGATCATCTCCCTCATTGTATTAAACATCTATAGATCAAACAACTTGAAAGCCTTTATTTTTATGTTTTTGGATTCTTTCATCCAATCTCTTCATCTACCACCTCTACTTAATCATTACTCAACTCTCTAATATAAGAATTCCCTCAAACAAAAAAAAAACTCAATCTCTCCATTATTGAATGTTAGCTTTTCTTTGCCTCGTTGTGGACAATGTGTCAACATAATGAAGGGCAAATCATTTATGCAATAACCTTATCCTAAATATTTTCTATTGTTGTATGATAAGTCTTTTTCGGCCTAGCGAAAGGATACATAGGTATCCCTTTCAAACCACATATGTATAATCTTTTGCATAGTTGACATGACCCTTCACTCAATTGAAGAATCCCACATATGTGTAAAAGTCAAAAAGTTGCACCTTCTAAATTAAGACCCTAAACTTTCTACGATTATAAATACAAATAAAATTAACTCTATACAAATGCCACTACCTTCATAGGTAAATCTTAGTCTATCTTGGCACTCCAAAGGATATCAAAATCCTCATTACTGACTCCATAACTCAAAGTTATTTCTTATACGTGAGCTATAAAAAGCATTATATTATTGCGCAGATCCACTGCCTTTCCTGGCAAATATCATGCCTTCGTATAGCTCAATGGAGATATGTAAATATTAGCTAATTCTCCAATCGATGGAATCAAAATTAGGGGTGTCAAATAGAGTTCGCAAGTCAAATTTGGGCTAACCCGAAACTAACCCAACTCAAAATTATTTGAGCACAACGTAACCTGAAAGTTAAATGAGTTAGAAAAGCCAACCTAAGTCCAACCCGCCATTAACCAATTGAATTGAACCCAACTAATATATCTATTTAGCATAAGGCATAACAACTATTTAAGCCAAGTTGGGCCAGTTCTAGAAAAGCCAACCTAAGTCCAACCCGCCATTAACCTATTGAATTGAACCCAACTAGTATATCTATTTAGCATAAGGCATAACAACTATTTAGGCCAAGTTGGGCCAATTTCAAATCAATTTCAGACTTGGTGGATCAATCTTGAGTTGATTTTATGTTAGCAAGCCAATTTCAAATCAACTTCAAATTGGCAAGTCAGCCTGATCCATACTAAAAATAAATTTAATGTGCTAGGATCTTAACACGAACCGAACCCAAAAAATTTTCAAGCCAACTTACAACAGGAATTTTTCTGAGTCAAATTTGGAAAGTGTTGGCTTGTTTAGTAGGTCAATTTTTAACATTCCTTATCAAAATAAATCAGTACTCAATTCTCATCTTGTAAAGAAAAAAAAAATAGAAACATTTAGTACCATCTGGGATGTCCAATCAATCTATCATGGCACTTAAATACTCAATATAAAACTAAGAACAATTTTATTTACCATTGAAATACAACGGCATCAATTTTCATCCCAATATGGTCAACTTATTTGCTAATTCTCAGTATAATTTCAACATAAGTAAAACCATTAAAACAAGTATCAAATTCAGCTAACACCATCACAAAATAATTAACTTTTAAAACAAACAACTACACGCCATAAAACATCTAAAAAACAAATGCAGTAAGAAACAGTCCCCTTGATACTGAAGGTACTATACCTCTAGGCATGCATGAATGCATAATCCTCAACAGGTATGTTAGAGAATCAAAAAATTAGCAAAAATCTAAGTAATAAATAAATAAATAAAATAAAATAAAATAATAAAAAAAAATAAAATCAATTCCAAGCTTCGAAATTCTCAAAGAGATGCTTAACAATGCAATACTAGAAGCAAAGATTGCAGTTTCAAACAAACAGTAATAAATCCTAACACAAACAAGCACAAAGTGAGCAGCACCATAGCTGCTATGAGTACCACTCAGAGACACAGACAGCCCTAACAGTTGGACCTCTTATTCTTTCACACAGATTACTACTAATGGAAGCAAAAGAGCCAAAGTCTACTACTGCTATATAGTAAGTCATTATACAGAGCAGTGAGGATTTTCTTCAATATCAGTGATAAGAAAGAAATATACCTCAATGCAGATAAAAGCCAAGAATGAATTGCCTATCAGAATAACCAGACAGCAGCAGGGACTATCCCCCAACAAGAACAAGCCGCATAAAGCAGCATCACTGCTATTGCAGCTAGCTCTTCCATCTGGCTGCAGCAAGTTTGGTGCCTCAGACCTTCAGGAGGTCGCAGCAGCCATCAGCTGATGTTCCCCACTTGGAAAGGATGACTGAGCTGCGGTCTCCGACAATCATGTTTGCTAGAGGGAGGTAAAGGGATGGACGGAGATGCTCAATCACATGGAAGTGATCATTTTTTCCCTGCGAATACATGCTGGTCACCTCTGATCGGGATATACATGAGCCGCAGCTAGCTGAGTTAAGGTTTCCGCTATCAGACTGAAGAATTTCAGAGCTCGGAGATGTGATTGCAGGCCGAGTTAAATGCTTGCCATTGTTGTGGTTATCACTTTTAACATTTTGAACATCCGCATCCTTTTTGGTGTTCAGGAAACGGCCACCACATCCTCTTGGACGCCGCATTGCATGTAGATGGCGTGACTCGTGGAGATATGGCTACAAGAAGAGGAAAAATTGAAAGATTAAAAGATGGAATATGATGAAGGGTTCAACATGGTTGTTAGTTGGTCATAAATATGTTAGAGATGAAGATAAATTATTTGGTTTATAAGTGGTAATGGAGTTGCAGCTGTGAAATCTTGAAATCGTACTATTACTGTGGTCATGATCGGTACATAACATATCAATTATTATTGAAATAATGAATCATAAAGGGAATGTGCATTATTTATATAATTTGAAAATGGAATGTTCATTATTTAAGTTATTTGAAAAAACTGTTTCCAAATTCGCACCTTCCTGATTTTGACCAGTTTGTTCTTCATCTCTGCTTTAGCACGAGCTTTCCTCCGCCTAATGATTCCATGGAATTGTTTAGCATTAACGTATATGGGTGTTTCAGCTGTCATATTCAGTGGCAGAAGCATCCGTCCATGCTACATTGAAAGAAAAAATCATCAGTGACTACTTGATTATCATACTTGTACAGAGTATACAGAACATACAGATATGAGAATACAAAAAGCGTAGAAAAAATATAAAACTTGTGCAGCACATGTTGTGGACGTTATATTCAAATATATGCAGGTGCTAGAATGTTTTTACCAAAGTTTATACAAAGTTATCTATTTAACAACATAAAAGTTGACTATGAAGCAGGACATCATATTTTACAACACAGAACATACAGCTTTCTGTTTTGAAAAAATTGAACAATGATGAGCAGGAATATTGTAGAGATCATATTTAGACAGCAAATACATGTACTGGATATTCTTAATAAAATCAAAGCACAGATGTTTAATACTTATATTTGTATAGACAATCCATTTATCATTTTAGTGCGCTCATAAAAAAATAATAATAATACATAGCACACAATTCTTACGTATATACATACATGTGACCGGATTTAGGTCATCATACGAGCCACCCAATCGATACAACAAAGCAGATTGGCCAGAATAATCATCTGGACGGCTCATCCAAGGTGATCGGACAATGCTACTCGATCAAGATAGCTCGGCCAACGCTATTCGACAAAGACAATTTGACCAACTCACCCAAAAAACCAACCAAGCCAGGTAAATGCAACGAACTCAATGAAAAGTTCTCCGAGACATCAAGAATGATCTCACCAACTAGCTTCAAAACCAAATAGGCCGGCATAAGCATTACCGAAGACAAAATGCAGAAGAAGCATTTTGATGCAAGAGCGGCCCAGGAGAAGGTTTTGTGATCATTACTACAGTACTACGACTCCCGCAAGGCTTGTGCTCGCCTGAACCGAACCGGTCCGGGTCTTTCTGTTTTGGAAGCGTCCACCAGTTTCTGGGCCCACTCCTAGTTATCATATTATTATAAATTCACTTTCATGGGAGTTTAGGGTTATTTTTTTGTGTGCTTGGAATAGGGACAGCCGTCAGCGTCTCCTTTTACTTTTGAGGGATGTATTCTAGGGTTCCAAGTGGTGCTTCGATTGTATTTTGATTTCTAGGTGGTGATTATCTTCCCTACCCCTTCCAGCCTCCCTCTCGCTTAGCTACCACGCTTTCATCCTCGATAAAGCCACCCCAACAACACTTGCTTTCTTCCTGCAGTTCCTCGCTGTCCAGCCATCCTTCTCGCTGCCGCAGCCCGTGGACCGTCCCTCTTTGGCTGTCCCGCAATCCCCTGCCTTAACCGCCCTTGCATTCGCCACGCCCGCTCGTTGT